TCAGCTTCTGATTCAATACATAGGAGCAAACAAGTAAGCAAGGAAGTTCAAGTTGGATATATACGTCATCCTTCATTTCAGTTGGGGAAATTGAATCTGATCGGGCCTTCGATCGATTCGGATAAATCTTCGGATTTGGTGGCTACAAAATATTCGCTGTGAAAATTCCCAAGAGTTGCCATGCATGCATATGTCATAATGTCAATGTTAGCTCTTGGGTGAACCAAGAGTTGCCCTAATTCCAGAGTTCTCAGGGCATATCCCCATCTAGCCTGGAGTATTGGATTTGGGAGAATCCATATATCTGCTGTGGGGAAGGCACCACTAACACTTTGTTTTGTCAAATGTATATATAATTCTTGAACTTGATCATAAACCTTAATTCCTTTAATATATGTACAACCAAATATTATATGATACGATTGTGGAGAGAGATGCTTACGCTTAGAATTATTTGTGGTTCGAATATAGGTGTGGTTGAATCTTTCCTTGATTGGAGGATGCAGCCCCATTTAGGTGTGGTTGAATCTTTCTTGGATGAGCAAAACTTACGTCAAGAGTTAGATGCGAATCAGGAAAAGTATATGAAGTATGCATGCATGCATGCATCATGTGCAGGCGAAAAGAATAGATTCAGATGCCATGTATACTGGAAGCTTAACCCAGAAAATAATCAATTCAGAATGTTATCTTCTCACGAGCTTGATAAGCATCCATCTTTGGCCCACGCTTAAACGTTTGGATAATGAATCATCTAGCATTTGAGTGTTTTTTATATAATTAAAATGAAATTATATATATACGTACAGCACTAATTGTACAGTCTGAATTCTAGAACCAGAAAACAAAGACAAAGACAGAGACATCAATCCATCAATCTATCAATCTATCAATCTATCAATACATCAACAATAAGCCAGAGACTTGGGCAACTGAATCACAAATTTAAGATAGCAGTAAGGGAAAGGACTAATTTTTCAATGGTGGACGACAACATGCAAAATTCAAGGTAGCACCATTTGCATTCTATGCCGGAAATTTCACGCAAGTTGCAACAAAAAGGTTTACGGGAACTTGAGAATGCGTCCACGCATAAGTTAAACAAATTACAATGGCTGCTTTTTGTGTTTGTCGAATTGTGCTTTTGCATTATTTGCATTTTGACTCAAAACAGAGAACTACAAAATAAATAAATAATATTTACAGTATAAAGGTGGCAACGGAGCTAAAAGCCTAAAACAAAACATATATAAAAGAAGAACATTGATTAAGTGGAGTCCCCTTTTCTTCGCTTACATTTCCTTTTGTATTTTTAATATTGTCTAATTAATTTATTTTTTCTGTTTCCTATTCTACCTCTATCCTATATTAATTTCCTTTTACTTCACTTTTATATTATTTCTTTTTCTTTATACTTAATTTTCCAACTTGCATTCTATTTTCTTTTTCTTTATACCATTAAATGAACATGATAATATTTTTATTTTATTTTTAGAAGACCTATAATGCTGAATGAAGTTAATAAAAATTTGAATTAAGCATTAGAAAAAAGAAAAGAAGGGCATAGTCGGGGAGGGGATGAGCTGCACATCGATTGTAGAAGTGGGAGCAACCCAACAACCATGTCAATCTCTATCCCCAACCATTTTCCCCACCGACAACCAAGGGGCCCAACTCTCCAAGCCACACTTACGTCCCCAACTCCAATGCACCCCAACCTCTAATATATATAATAAAAGCTCATGTAGCCTTAGCACTCCGCAATGATCCTTCCCACTTCACCAGTAGTTCCTCCCATTCCTGACTAGACTATACCCTTTTTTCTTTCTCTTTTAAGTTATTTATTTATTTATTCTAATTATATATTTTAGCTTAATTGAACTTTTAATGTATTTTAAAATTAATACAACTTTTTATTAACTTCAAAAAGCTTTATAGGTTTTCAAAATAAAATGAAAAAAAGATTATCATGTTCATTTAATGGCAACTTTAACGGAACATACCAAATTGATTAATGGTCTTAAACACTGGGATCAAATTGGCCAAATTATTAAAAACATATAGACTAAATTGGCCAAGGTGATAAAATACAAGGATCATTTTGATATTAAAGCCAAAGAAATAATATAAAAGTGAAATAAAAAAATTAATGTATGGCAATGGTAGAATAGGAAAGAGAAAGAATAAAAAAGAAAAAGATCGATTCGAAATATTAAAAAGCAAAAAGGAGTGTAAGTAAAGAAAAGAAAAGTGAAAAAATCAGCTCGCTCAAATTAATGGGGTAAAGAAGATGGGTTTGTGTTGACCATTAGGTTGGCTGGGCAAAAGCTGATATGATCATAAAGTCTAGTGGCAAATTGATTGAACATAAAGACGTCCCCGCATTGTGGGATCTAAATTGAATCTTTGACCCAAAGGCTCTCTTCTCATTGGAATCACTTCACTTTATACCATCTCTCCAATACAAACTCATAAATTTTCCTAAAGGGTATATTATATATGGACAAACGACATTAGTGGGAAATTTAATAAAGAAATTATAATAATATTTAAAAATGTATTTTAATATTTAAGAATTTTGAGCTGAATGTAGTGGCAATGATATAAGACTGAGCTAGAAAACTGCCCGGCTTATTTGTTGTATTGGGCCTGGCCCAACTCATGAAACGTTGCTGTTTTCTTCCGGCTGGGTGTTTGTAATTTTAATCAAGTCGAAGGGGCTTTTAGCCGGCCCACAACAACGAGAACGGGCCTCAATCAAAAGATTAGAAACGCCATGTGTGGCACATGTTTAAGTAAGAATCATAAAACTCAATTCATTTGGATTGTGCAATGCAAGTAGTGAATTAAACAAACCAACTACGACAACATCACACGCTTGGGTTGGCAAAAGCAAAGAACAATAAAACATGATTAATTAGCATTACTTCAAGTTTAGAACACAGCTCTTCCACAATGGTTTCTTCTTGACCTCATTGTTTTGTTACGGAGACATGTACTAGTTGGACTTCAAGGATTTGGAGGCCTGGGTGGTGGTGAGGAAGGATGGTGAGGAGAGTGGGGGGGACTTGGAGGAGGAGGAGAGTAGAAGTAAAACCAAGCTGGAGGTGGCGATGGCGGTGGCTGTGGCCTTCGCCGTGGAGGACACATTCTTCGATAGTGGCTACCATGGCGAGGAATATGATACGAGAAATGAAGTGCAAATGCATTGAAGAACAGTAGTAGCCAAAGTAACAAAGCCCCCATTTTTGTAATAAAGCAGCTCATTTTACTTGGCTTGGAAGTTGGATTTGGAGGAAGGCCGCCTTGGTGTTGGTTACTGGTTACATTGTTAGCATAGAAGGAATTTATAGTTATTTATATCCACATGGTCATGGATATAAATAAATGTAAATGTAAGATTTGATAGGGACCAAAGCCACCAACCTTCCAACAAACTTTTTTGGCGTGATAAATTTCTTTCCTTAAACTCCGGCGGGAATTTATTTCAACTGTTGAGTAACAAGGACTTGGTTGACACTTGCAGCAGATATCTCTTTAATTATTTAGTATACGAGAGGTGCAGAAAACCGGATTAATGTTCCCTAACACACTAGAGATCGTTGTTATCTAGATGGTACCGTACGTAGTGGAACACTACACAAGACAGAGTGACTGAGTGACTGAGTGAGTGGGGTTTGGTTTGGGTTTGAATTCTTCCAAAGTAGAGATAAAGACAGGCTTTAATTCCAAGCAACCTTTAATAATAGGAGGGCATGACAATTAGGTCTCATAACTCAAGTCGTCGACATTTCTTTAAAGTTAGATTTATGTATCTCAATCTCAAGGAAATTAAGCCCGGCCCACCAAATTTCAAATGCCTTTTTTTTAATGCAAAATCATGAACAATAATAATAGTTTAAGCAGCATTAACCCGGATTCTAATTTCTCAATCCAACTCTTTAATTCAGTTCTTGCTTCTTATGATTACGTACTAGTAAACATATCATATCATTAGGGCCCGTTTGGTAACGTTTTCGGAGAATATTTTCTCAGAATATTTTCAGAGAATGAAAACAAGAAAATGAATTTATATTTTCAGGAAATGAAAATGCATCTGGTAGATTAATTAGAAAATATCTTTAGAAAGCAAAAACAATGAAAACGTGTCTGATAGTATAATTTGAAATAATAATATATGAGTTATTTTTATGAAAACATTTCCCATGAGAATGAAAACAACTTTTTTCTGTTTTCTACAAGTACACATTAACTTATTTTTATTTTATAAAAACATTCTCAGTGTTTTCTATTTTAGGATACCAAATGTATTTTTATCTCTTTTTTATTATTTGAAAATGAAAACAACCCCTTAAAATATTACTATACCGGCCTTAAAATGTCCTCCAGTTTGCATTTTGAATAGTGAGGTTGTGGGAAACATTGACCCTACATTTGGACACTTGGAGCTCTTTGAGCTTTGAGGGCCTCTCTGTCTGAGGCTGGCAGGGGTTGACATGGATAGGACAGAAATATCAATGGGAGTCATGGGACCCGTTTTGATATTCAAATCTCCTGATTTTGTCGTATAGGAGGACGTATAAACAAAGATAAATGGAAATTCATAAATTTACGTTTCCCTTTCATTTGTTACTACTGCTTGCTTCCTCCCCCGATTATAATTTTCCAAATCACGTGCGTGACTCGACAGATGCTTATGCACACGACAGATGCTTATGCCAGTAGTAGACTCACAATAGTACAAGAATTCTACAGTGAGGACTTTATATATGATATTTAGATGAGATCCTATCCCTTAATCATCCCTATCTCTTAATTATTGAATCAAATTACAAGTTCCCCTTTTTCTTTTTGACCTTCCTTTGATGCAATGCAATGGATTTGCAGCACTGGCCAAAAATCAAAAACCAAAAGACAATGTTTTATAAAACGCACCAAGTGATAAAAACATCAGTAAAAAAGCAATCAGAACTTGGTCAACGAAAGACAGCAAAGGGTTGCCAATAAAAGATGATAGTTGAGAACTAAGAATATTTACATTTTAGAAAGGAAAAAAACCTACTTCCCCAGTCAGCAATACATTAATCCAAGCTTTTAGAAGGAAAGCCACAGGGTCTTCTTCTGAGAAGTCTTCCCACCAGTTTACAATATCTACATAAGCTACGCTACCAAAAAGGTAAGAGCCTCTATATAACTCAGAAGAAGCAGAGTAATACTACTAACCCACTAACCAACATGTAAACATACACAAGCCTGGATACATATATGTTACAGAATATCACCAACGGGAAGTGGCCATTGGGGGTTCAGGTATCTGTTAGCATCGACTACCTCACTCAAACATCTCTCTCTCTCTCTCTCTCTCTCTCCCCCCATGTCATTTGCAGACGGTCTTTAGTCTCTTCGCAGCCTGAACAAACCCCACAATGACCTGCAACTCGTCGATTGGCTACAGCAGATGAACAAAAGTTTTGAATGGTTAATAATGTTGTCAATAACATTGGAAACTTATCAGATTACAGGGCATTGCTGGACTTGACAACATAACTAGCTATTTAAAAACATGGAAGCTTTATAATGTTGTCAATAAATTTGGCTTCTTTCATTCAACTTGTGCTCAATGTTGCAAGATAGCTAAAGTACACTGAACCAGAAAAATGAAGCACAAGGCAAGCAATTGTGTGAGTACCTGTGACATGAAATGCCTCTGAACAACATCTATTAGTTCCTCTTTCGATGGGTTGGGAATGGCATCCACCTAGAAAAATTCACAGTACACAAATAAATGAAATGTAAATACGGAGCAATCATTTGATCTTGGCTGGTATAAGTACTCACAAGATTGAAGTGTCGCCAATATCTCCATAAAGCAGCCATCTCCAGCTTGCCAAGGTCAATTTTCTGAATAGGAGATATTTTAAATTACAAATCACCTAGGCATTTCAACCTCTATTTCCAGACTATGAAAGTAGTATAAAGTCAACAGGGCAACTGTACTTACCGTGGACCCTCGTGGAGTAGAAATAGAACCCTTAGATTGAGAGTCACAAGAGAAAGTTCTACACATAGTCCTGTGAGATGATCCAGATGATTTATGCACTCTTTGCCTTGATCTGTGGGACTTTTGAGTGTCATCAGACGCTGGGAATACAAAATAAATTTTAAGAAAAAAGCACAATCAGAAAGCATTGTGGGACCAACCAAAGAAAAAAGATAAAGAAGTGAGGCAATAAAGCTTTAATTTAGAGATAGGAAAAGTAAAAGGTAAAGACACAATGGATCCTATGTACCAACCTCGACTACTTTTCTCTATAAAAATACTGTTCCAAGTTCACATTCATAGAAGTTCCGGAGAACAGTTAATTAAAATATGAAAGCACTGGGGACCCCCTAACGAAGTCCAAAGGGCATGCACAGATGCAGTCACACAACTAATAGTACTCTAGTCAAGCACAAAACTCATATCAGTCATTATTCAGACTGCTTTTGACAATCATGCTTTGAAAAGCAAATCAAGACATACAAATAATGAGAGAGTTTGGTGGTTCGCAAAACCCACTATGCCAAAAGCATCATAGTTCCAACTGGTCGAGAAGAGTCATAACATAATTTCAGGTAAAATGTTTAAGGTCCATAACCAAACTCACCCATATCTGATCCATTCCACTGGACATTATCAAAATCAAGGTCATCATCTTCCTCATTACCAGTAGGAGCTTCAATCACACTAAGGGCATTCCTCTGAAGCTTAACTTCTATGCCATTTGTAAGAACCTGTAGATTCATTGATTGGGATGTTAGGTGCCATTCTCATGCATGGTACAGATGCCTAAAGAAATACCCAAAAAGTGAACAGATTCACACACAACTTTCAAGACATCGGCAAGAAAAAAAAGGAGAAGCACAAATCCTGTTCTAAGTAAACCAAATGAAATGTTTAGGAACAAAATATATCCATATTAAATCCAATTTTCTAAATTAGAGACAAATCCAGATAAGGATACTCAATTTCCTGGCTTAAACGCTTACAGAAGTTCCCAGAGTAGTTTTCAAAGGTCAAGAGAAGAATGAAAATCAGTAATCCTGCACACCCACCCATCTTCCACTGCTCAAAAGGAACTTACTCAATCACACCATCAAAAAAACATACTAGCTTCCCATTTTCAAAGAGAACAGCAGTTCATTAAAACCAAGGGATAAACTGTTTGTAATAGAGTCAAAATGACTTAATCCCTATAATTGGGGTTGGAGGGAATAGAAAAGTAAACGATCACAAAGCAGATTGATACGAAATTTGTAAATTTTATAAATCACCTAGAAAACAAGACAGTTCTAGAATGTTATAAATATTATCCATAAACTGTTAAAAAACTTCAACACAAGGCTTGCAGATGCGAGAACTAGCAACAATCCAAACATGCAAGAACTACATGATAAAGTTGGAATATCTGTACCCAAACTGTAATTTACCAAGCCATCGAAGTTTGCAATATGCGAGGAATAAAAGATATGAAAAGCTAAAATCCAAAATCCAAAATAAACGCAAGGGTGATCCTCCTTTAAACCAAATCATAGATACTGCAAATTTACCACAAAAGACATACAAAATTCGAATTTTTATACTCCGGAAGATAATCTCAAATTCATACAACCAAATAAATCAAAAGAAAATAACTATTGGTGTTAACACAAGCAATCGGAAAGGAATGAACAAAACCGTATTGAAATCCCAATTTTCAATCCCACTTTAAATAGAAATCTATTAAATCCTCAGATCCCGTTAAAAAATGCAACATGCAATGAGAACTCAATATTCATAACTTCTTGAAACTTCCACAGAAATCTGAATTCATGATAATTTACGCATGTAGCACAAAAATATGGAAATTTCCCCCCAAAAAGAAAAGCAAGCTTGCTGGAATTTGCAATAAATAAATCAGAAAAAAAAAATCAAAGATAAAAGTGTCAATAACCAAAGAGGCGTTGAAACTGATGAACAGAATGACCAAACAAAGTTATTGGGAAGACAATAGCACAGTAGATTAAACACCAAACCCAGTAAGAACAAAAATTGGTCCGCATTGCTTAAACAATGTCAATTAGATTTAAAAAGTTCCAATTAAACTCAAATTTCCAAAATGCAAACAAAAGAAATTTAAGAAAAAAATTGAAGGCACAGATGGACCGCGATATCCAAAAATCTATTTTTCCCAAAAACCTAAATAGACGAAGGGAATTACCAGCCAATGCCACCCGCCAAGCCCCACAGCCTTCTTGACCACGCCCTGGAGACCAACAAGGACAGACTTGGTCCTGTTATTCCCAGTCACCACCACCTTGGTGTGGCGAGGAAGCACAGAGAGCTCCTCTTCACTACTGTCACCACAACTCTGCAAGTGAGAGAAACCGCCATGGACGGAACTCTCCATTGCCTCAAGCATTTCCGCTTGAACTCAGTGATTGAATTAGTCGGTGAAAACGTTAGTATTAGGACTCAAAATTGCATTTAAACGAAAGATCATGCATTGCTCTATACGTATTTGGGAGTTTTGGGGACAGAAAGGAGGGAAATTGGAGCCAAAATTGGGAGTTTTAGCAGATAAAAAACACAGAGACACAGAGAGAGGGAGAGGGAACAAGAGAGAGGGAGGGAGAGAGAGGAGGGATGAGAGTGACTGGTATTCTTTATTGGTGTGTTGCTATGAATCCCGAAGACTCGCAACTGACGAATCGGAGAGTGCCACGTCCGGCTGTAGTTCTCCTTAATTATGCGTTTCACACAGTAAGCCGAGGTCGCGGCATGATGCAATACCACTAGCGGTTTGGATTTTTGAAGCAGAGTTACTGGGTGTTGACCGTTTGACTGGAGGGGAATGAGATAATGAGGTAGTGGGTCTTGGTCCAAATGACGAAAATACCCTTATACATTCCATTTACAGAGGTTTTTTTTTTCCCAATGTCTAGAATTATTGGAGCTGCTATGCTATGTGGTTCCGTACTATAAATGTCATGGGGGGTTTGAATTTTGAACTCACTCAATAAATGTGTCCACGAAAATAGAAGTTCTATGGTCAAGACTCAAGCTGGAAAATTTTAAGGAGATAGACTGATTTAGACTGTGTTTATCTAATTTAACCCATATGATTATTAAGTAATGATGCTAATATTGTTTTTGTATAGTAATGTCTCTATCTACTAAAATCGCATAATAGAATACTTGTCAGTTTTCTTTTTTCTTTTTATACAAGTGCTATTAATTAAAGGAGGAAAAATCAGAACATATGATTTTAGTGTATGTATAATTACTTTTAGCCACTTGAACTAAATCAACTTGCGGATATTTGTTACTTTAATTTTTAAAAGTTATTAAGAAATTAGTGTTACGTTCAAATAGTTGTTGTGATGCTGATTGGTAAATAAATTAAAAAGAAAAAGGGGCGGTTAGTAATTTCTCAAAAAAGCGGGAGAAACGTTACGGGGATTGGAAACGTAACGGAAATCCGAAATTCATCGTTGGGAGGAGGTAGGGCCCACTGGGCGCTGAGGAGGGAAGGCTCTACCTGCCGTCGGTGTTGTCTTATCCAACATGGGACTTGTACATCTGTCCCTCACTCACACACAGTTTTAAACAACACAATATTTTACCCAAACAAAAACCAATTAATTAGATTAAAATAAATAAGTTAACTTATCTATATCTCTTGCCTCTTTTAGGGGGTACAATTTCCCGCCAGAACCAAGCATTAGAAGCCGTGGATTTGGGAGGGCAGCGGTGGTTACCGTTGGATGGTTGGGAGTTTTAGTCCAGCCGTTTGATTGGATTGGATAGTATTTAGAAAAGCAGACATGCTCCTATAGCATGTGTAATGATCACAAAGTTGAAAGAGCGGTGGACCTTTCGGACACCTCGGCATAAAAGCTAAACGAAAGGGACAAATCAAAACATGGAAATTTCAAACTTGTTGTTTTCTTTTCTTTTTTGTAATGACCCACCACCACCGTTGGATCTCAGCCATCAGACTTGATAGAGCAGCGCACCACCGATTCAAGTGGGTGGTATTAGTAAATTTACAAAAGCTGAGGGATCCCAAAGCTAAATACAAAACAAAAGTAGTGTTTAGAGCATCTATAGGGAAGAGGCAAATGAGTAGGTAAATTTCATTTGTTTTGCCACATCAGCATTTTTATGCTCCAACGAAATAGGTAAATGAGTAGGCAAAATATATATACTCTCCCAAACAAGGCAATATTACATATTTAAAAAGGTAAATTGAAAAAGGTAAATTGAGTTTTTATATAATATAAAATATCATCTCTACTCTCTCACCTCCTCTTTATAAAATATAATAGTAAATGTAAAAGATAAAAATAAATATAATAGTGGTTTGTAGACTTGTATTGCATAGTACCTTGAAGTGGCTAATTTTTACGAGAAAAATGGGTAGGCAACATACCACTGAAGTTGTTATAATACAATTTTGCCTATTTTATTTGCATACTATCTTTGAGATGCTCTTAGTGTTAATTACGGGTTTTTTTTTTCCTATTTTTGGTTATACTTTTATTTGTCCTTATGTGGCGACTAGTGAAAGAGGTAGTATGACTACAATGCGATTCTTATCGGTTACGTTACCGATCCATTGAAAAGCTTCCAGAAGTTTGCAAAAGGGTTCTCAGTGGAAGGAAGGAAGGAACCAACTAACAATTTTTATATATATTATTTTTTATGAATTTTATGTGACAGCCACCTTCTTAAAATTTTATTTTATAAGGGTGTTATGAATTATGATTTTTTTGTTTAATGATATTTAAATTAAATATACCAAATTAAGAATTTTTTTTATTTTTTTATTTAAAAAAACACAGAAATACAAGACCCAAAAAAAGAAAGAAATAAAATTGGAAGTTTGCGTTGTGAATGAGGCCTGGTTGTAAGTTGTAAAGTAGGAGGAGGCCCAGCTTGGAGGAGTGATTGCTGGAGCAGACAAGACATTGGGCTCCACTGTCTAACTAGTTTATTTTTTCTTCCGTACATTCCATGTTGCTCCTCGTTTGAAAGGGAAAGAACACAAAACAGAACAATTAGGGCACTGGTACTGGTTCAGACCCAACCAAAAAAAAAAAAAAAGGGCACTGGTACTGGTGACGAAAGTTCAATAAAACAAGTTAGGAGTGTATGCATACACACACTAACCCGTTCGGCAATCTTTTCAGATAATTTTTTTGAGAATATTTTATGAGAATAAAAATGAGAAAACAAATTTGTATTTTCAGGATTCGAAAGTACGTCTGGTAAATTAATTGAAAAACATATTAAATTAATTGAAAAACATATTCAAAAAATAAAAATAGTGAAAACGTGTCTAGTAGGACACTTTGAGAATAATAATATGTGAATTATTTTTCAAGTATATTTTTTGCTAATTTCTGTCCTAATTTTTATTTTATTTTAAAATTTCTGATATTTTAAAGGCTAAAATTATTACAAACAATGAAAAATGTATAATGTGAGAATAATAATATAATTAAAATAATACAAAAATTCTAATATTAGAAAAACCTAGATAAAAAAATTTAAAAAGAAAAATAAGTTCAACAAAAAAAAAAAAAAAACAAACAATCAGACCAATACATTGGGTATCAAATGAAAACGATAATTTGGTGTTTTCAGTTTTTGTACATGAGTGTGAATTTGTTTTCAGAAAACGAATTTAAGTGAAAATGAAAACGACATGCTTAACGCGTTTTTGATTAAAAAAAGAAGAAGAAAAAAGGCTTCGAAAACGTTACCAAATGACCCCCTAACATTTTATCTGTCCTAAAAATCGATCGAAATTCACACCCCTTCCTCCTCATCGAAATAACATTTGCAAAAATGATCATATGTGGGGAAAACCACAAGAAGACCAGCATGCATTTTTCATCTTGTGGACCATCGTTTGCTGCTCATTCTTAGTGGCGTCGGATGATACCCATATCCAGAAGATCATAGTACATTAATTGCTTGTATTATTTGCATTTGGTTGTGTTCGTGCGGTCTTCCAACCGTTGGTGCACTACATGTATTGATCAACGATTGGAGATTGCTAAATGTGAATAAGTGACTGCACAGTACAGATGGGAGTAATGGAGTGTGAGGGGAAAGGGGTTTAAAATGGCATGCCGTCACATTCAAAAGCATGTATAGATGCCCCCTGACATGTAACTTTGACTTCCACAGCTAAAGGTAAGCAAACACATGTAACAGAGAGTATAGATTAGGTCAATGGTCAATCCTTGCATCTAGTTTTATATATTTCTTTAAGCTGGGTGGGTGCTGTGTTAGTTAGGACTTGGGATTATTCTACTTTTTTTTTATTTTTTTCGGGTGGGGTGAACCCAATTGCTTCTGATGAGTTAAATAAAAAACGAGACAATAAAAAGAAAAGGCAAACAAATAACAGAAAAATGAGTTAAAAGAGTAACATCTCTTTTGGTTTTGTATATATATATTAATCAAGCACACACAAATAGCAGAATTAAGTTTACGTTCTACAAAAGAATGTCGAAAAATGTATTTTTCAACAAAGAACAGCTTAATCAATTCTCCTACCCTTTTCCTTTCTTCCTGAACACTAGTGACCTACCCCCTTCCCAACTTTGAACCACCTCTAAGTACTGTAAATGTACTAATTATTTGCTAATACAAATCACTAATATACATAATAAATACACGTGTAGAATGGAGAGAGGACCTAAAATGGCATGAAGCAGAAATACTTCTTCTTAAGCTTTTCGGTTCTGCCAATAGTTCTAGCCCTCCTTTTTCCTTCTTGGGATGCAGTATTGCTGCTGGGTGACACATCAATATTATGAGAAGTTGATGGGCCTCCTTCATTCCTATTATCTGGTTTCTGAATTCTGCTCATATTGTTTGAAGTCTTTCCTGAGATCTTGCCACAAACAGCTGAACCAGGAATTGGAGAATGAGTTTTGACTCTTTCTTCACTTGGAGACTTGCTGAAAGATCCTATTAACCAAAAACAAATTGGGTATTTTTAGGCTTCTTCAAAACAACAAGCATAAGAAGCACTTTAATCTTTTCAGGAAATTATTACAACAGAGAAAAGAACAAAAAAGGAACTGACAGAGTGTGTCATCTACACCAAACATAAGAAGTATTTTTATGTACCTGAAGAGGCTGCAAACATGACCAACTCATCTGATCTTGGAGGTGCAGAGATACTGAACTTGCAACCTGCATTCTTGTTTACCAAGTCTTGGCTGTTTTTAGGCTCTAGTTCTTCTAACAATGCCAGAGAATCGAAGCATTCATCCGATGACATAGTCAAGCAACTTGAATCTGAACTAAAAGAAAAGGATGCTGGTGTATCAAGATCCAGCAGTTCCAAGTAGTCACCTCTGGAAACGTAATCGATTTCAGGCATAATTTGTACATTATGATCTGGACCTCTTTCTGTACCTATTAATGTTCCCCTTTCATTATCCTTGATCACCTACAAGATATAGCAAGCCATCACATCCATAAGAGGAATGATCAAAAGGAAGCATCATGGTTCCATCCGCACAAAAGCTAGAAATAAAAAATGTTGTTTAAAAGAAATTAAATTCTGCACAAGAAATCAGCTGCTGTCACTGCAAAATATATATTTCAAGCTGCTAGATTTAATGACCCATAGGATCCTAATTAACCAACCTGAGGCTTGCTTGTGGAACTGTGACTAGTACAATTCTTGGCACGTGGAACAGCTGAATGTGTTGAGTAACTAGCACTATCAGAACTAACCATCTTCTGAAGATTTTTGCAGTTCGATTTTTGTTCATTGCTACAAAAGACTCTGCAAAGTGACCTGGGTTCCTGCACATTATCCAACCAAACTGGCAATTGACTGGCAGGTTGGGTAGAGAACAAAACAAATAGAACGAATCAGGTAAAGAAATACAGGATTGGAAGCCTCAATCAATTACCTTTGCCTTGCTGTCTTCAGACAACTTCTTCTGAGTTAGCCAGTATTCTTGCATCACCCAATTGGTTTTACTTTCATGAGGGGCATGGCCTTGATAGAACTCAAGAGTAGCTCTCCAACCAGTGATGGAAGAGTTTGAGAATATTCTGCAGGCCTCCCCTTTGGTTCTCCAATATCCAAAATTTGTAGGTTTGTTCTCATTAGAGTGAATGAAGTACCAAAAACCATCTGCATATAAACGGTCCTGTCATTAGAGTGAATGAAGTACCAAATAACATCTGCATATAACTCAACTAATCAACTTGATTAAATCAAAATAAGAGTATTCCCCACACCACATTGAAGGGTTTATAGCTTCTAAGATCTGAAAAGTACCAGGTAAATTTGAGGGCACTAGTTGGTAAGGATTTGCATCTTCAATCACATTGCCTGGAAGAGGGGATCCACTAATTATTTTCCCTAGAGAAATACAGAGCTCCTCATCGGTACACTGAAAACCAATATCAGCAGGCAGGGCAGCAGATTGTGGGCGCATGACGACTGAATCAAAAGGGAAAAAAATTCTGATGAATTTAGTCCCTGATCAGTAGTCTGCAAAAGGAAGGTTAAACACAAAGAACCAATTGAAAAAGTCAACCAAGTATCAAGATTGAAGCAGCTATTTGTAACCTAAATGTTTGAGAAAAATAATATTGAATTAGTCAAATATCAAGATTCAAGCTGCTTATATGTCCAATTAGTCAAACTAATATTGAATTAATGACAAAACTTACTGAAGAAGAGTTCACCAACAAAATAAAGAGGAGCAAGAAAATCTTGGATCAAATCTAGATCAAATCTTAAAATCGCTAATACAATCAAGCAGCACCTTAGACTAGTACAACATCATCAACTAATATTCGAGATGTTACAACAGCGATCTAAGAATAATAAACCAAACATTAAATTACATCACTGATATGATAAGGCTTATGTTTTGAGTCTCTTCGAATCCAGTCGGATTGCAGGGTAAAAACTTGACCAACAACATTTGAAATTTTTGTTATTTTCAAGTCTGAAACGAATCCATCACACAAATCCAATAAAATTCAAATAATTCACAGGCGAATCGAAAGGGGTGTCATCCAAAAAACACAAACTATCCATAAACCAAATTACATTACTACAACAAACAGAAGCAACCCATCTGCGTTAAACAGTCAAAAAGCCAATGATCAAGTTGGGAAAGTATCAGAACAACAAGAAAATTAGTTTTCAAAATTCTAAAATCTTAAACTTTGGGTCTCAGCCTCTCAGAGGAACCAAGAATTGGAGTCAACAGGACCGAACATACCCATTGACGACGACTGACTCATGCTAACATGAAAACAAAAGTTTCATCTTTCTCTTTACTCAACCTTTCATTTCCTCATTAACAAGAAATCAGTTTGATATATGATTCAAAACTATGAAGAACATCAGAAAGAGATAAAAGAAATGAGAAAGCGTGCCACGAACAGCAGAAGAATATCCCAGGAGAGTTCCCCATCTTCAAATTAAAAACTATTGTACATACACTTTAATTACTTATCATATAAATAATCTGATATAATAGTAACATAATTAATTAACCCAACAATAGTGAGAAGTTGATCAAGCTCTAACCTTTGGGGTTTTGAGACGACCAGAGAGCCACTGCCTTCTCCTGCTCGCTCCTTAATTTCCACTCTAAACAATTAAAGTTGGGTTGGGGTCACCGGCTATTTATAGGGCTGCTGCGTCAGTGAACGAAGCCCAGGGTGAGTTAACCCGAGTTACCCATTTCATCGTTGTTTCTACTTTTGGCCACTGAGAAATAAGAAACCACTACGTGTTGCTTCGTCATTGGCCCAGTCACGCAATCCCGTTAATCTTTTGCACCCCACTCATGCCCTCCTCCTATTACTTTGCCGCGCTTTCCTGGAAAATTCCATGCTCAACACAACTCGCGATATATTAACGATATTCTTTAACATTGTCAGCCTTTGATTTCTATCAATTACTATCTTCTTTCTTACCGACTTGCCTATACTTAATTAGAGGATGTCTCATATTTGACTCATATGAATATAAATGACGATATATTTATGATGAGTTCGATATTTAATATTTTCATTTATTTAAAAAAGCTCAATACCTCCTTTTTTGATTTGTCAAAACTCGATACTTAATTAGTTGCAGGTGTATTGATCCATAAAATACCATGTCACATTTAATATGATGTGGTGTAGCCTTAGTATTGGCACGTTAATGAAAATGACCATGTCACCTTTTAATGGTGCGAAATATAACAAGATAAACAAAAGTGGTGGCTAATATTAAGTCAAAATATCAAGTTGTGACGACATGACTTTTATTGTCATGCGTGCGGTCATCTAGAACAGACGCCAGGGGGAGACGTAGGCAAAGCACCCCTCTCTCCCTCAACCATATCGAATTGAATTGCCACTTTGATAATTGGGGGATTTATTATTATACCAAATATAGAAGTTCAACTTATTAAAAAAATCATACATGACATGGACTTTATAAACACACTTAAAGTTCATTTACAACATAACAAAAATACTTTTAACTTATTTTAAATTACAAAACTGTCATTGATTTCTTAACAAACCTAACCCAAAAATCTTATAAAAAAGCTCAAAACACTCAATAGTATATCAAAGTAATTTAATAATCAAAATTAAATTTAATATAATCAGCTGTCATTTTTTGGGTTTGTTTATAGAAATTAAATAGTGTAGGATTTATTTATAATTTAAGTGCTAAAAATAAGTATATGACTAAATATCTCTTGATAATTTGATAATCACATATGGTCAAAATTTTCCATAGGTTTGGTAGGGTCAAACGGCAATTGCCCGATTCAAGTGTCCAACCATTAATACTATTATTTGTTTGCTTCATATAAAAAGGAAATATATATATCATACGAAAAATACTTTGAAGTAAGACAGAGTGATCCCATTATCACCGGCAAAATATTTAAGTAAATATTATAAAAAAATAAAAATAAAATTGTTGGGTTCAAATGTACATGGGCCTTAATTGGGCTGGGCCAGCTTATTTATTGAACTTGGCGTCAGACCATTTGAGCCCTTTGGATTGTAGGCCCATTTGATGCGGCGGGAGATTTCTCACAGCGAAAGCTGGACGGCGAAACCTAGCGGGACTGGCCAGTCCTGATAATGGAGGACTCGAAAACCAGCGATAAGCTATCGGAGTTTTTGGAATCCGGCGTTTACCGGTTAGAAGATTCGAACGCCGTTTTCATCGACCCGGTTCGCGTCCTCAACCGCTCCTACACCAGGTTTAGGGTCTCTCCTTCCGCCTACTACTCTCGCTCTTTCGACTCCAAACACGCTGGTCAAGAGGCTAGGGTTTCTTCAAATTTCAGAAAGCGAAAGCGGAAGGAGAAGAAACCTCAGCCTCTCAACGACAGAGAACGAGCCGCCGATCAACGCCATCAGGTAATTACACAGTCACTACCCTTAGTGCGATTGCAAGTTTTAAACTTGAATGTTTTTGAGATTTTCCAAGCGGAGCCTTAGTGTTCGATTTGATGTTGATTATTGCAGGAAGTGAGACCTTTTTTGCTGAAGGCGCATGAATCTTTAGTTAGAGCAACTGAGCTTTTAGAGGTTGTGAGCAATTTGAAGGGGAATTTGGGTCCTTCAACATCGTCTCCTGGAGCTGAACAGTCACTTGTTGAACTCGGGCGGGTCTGGCAGGCACCGCTCTACGAGATTACTCTGAATTTCCATCCAAATGACAGCGCAAGGGAAGATGGAGGTTGGTTTTATTATTTAAATTTTTTGCCTTTAATTCTTTCTTTTTTGGGTAAATTGAAATGTTGGTCATTTGTTGTTTTATCAAGACTATTGGCTTATCAGGTTGCTTGATTGCTCGATAATGGAGGTTGGTTAATTATTTGAAGTCCATGCTCTTTATCATTCTCATATCGAGTGGTTTTGCAAATTTCTGAAATTGAAAATGACTCCTACTCTGTTTTCTTAGGTGCCCCTACTATTCAATACTGTGAACAACGTGCATTCCCTGTGTTTAACAACTTAGTCGTTAATGAGACCAGTGAAGATGTGGAGGCTGAACTTTTGAATAGTCGATATATCTTACCTCCAGAGAGTTCCTTCTACATGGTATGCCGACTTACTGACTATTTTTCTTTTTAAAAACTGAGATAAACAACGCAAGCTACTTTACCATGTTTCTTATATGATTTATTTTCTATCATGTGGAAGTCTGATCTGGGGCAGATTCACAATCTAATTCCTGGTAATTCCTGCATTTCAAACCCATATTTATCTGCAGAATCTGGTTCTGAATGTCTGTAGGAGTAAATTGCCCAAACTAGATGCTTAATGGTGGAAATGTCATTATGCATTCAACGGTATTTGATGTTATCTCCAAGGTTATTGATACCTGAAGTACTTTATTAAGTTTTCACAACCATTTCGTGTTGTTTTTTATTCTCAATATGCTCTTACTTTTATGTTCTTATGGAAGTTGGTACAAATCTGATTTACATTATTAGTAGCATTCTGATTGTAGTTTAAACTTTTTTAATTTTTTTAATTTTTTAATGTAGCTGAGTCTGATTGCGGCTTCAATCTTATTGTTATTGATCCGCCATGGGAAAATGGAAGTGCTCGTCAAAAGCAGAGGTAGGCATTTTACCCAATTGTATTTTCTAGCTTAAAAGAACCTGCAATCCTGTTTGCTAATACCATTACCATATCTTTGCATCTCCTGTATTTTGAACATTTTATTTGACTTAAAGGTATGTCTATTCTTTAAAGGTATATAATAAGGGGCACACCCTAGAGATAATTGACTCTAAAGGGATGCTTACCCAACTGACTCTCGTTAAAACAAATTGTATTAGAGCAACCAAGAAATTTTTTCTAAATTTCTGTTAAGAATTTTGGTAGCCAAGTCCATTGAAACAAATTGGAGTGGTAGATGAGTGATTGATGCGAATTTAATATATAGTGTGGTTTGGCCCCGTTGTTCTGATGGGCTACATGCCTGATGTTGTTTTCTTGAATAACCATGTGATTTTATAGCATTGCTTGAAACTAATATTATACAACAGATTTTAATACGGTGATGTTATTCATAATACTTTCATTTTGGATGGGGTGGTTTTTTCATTCTTATAGGTACTCAACTTTGCCTAACCGATATTTCTTATCCCTTCCCGTCAAGCAAATTTGTCATACGGATGGAGCACTTGTTGCTTTATGGGTGACAAATAGGGAGAAGTTGCGTGGTTTTGTTGAGAAAGAGCTATTTCCTGCATGGGGAGTCAAATATGTTGCTACTTTTTTCTGGTTGAAGGTTCTCTCTCGGTGTTGTGTGTGTTTATATAGTGAATTCTATTGAGTGCGATTTTGCAAATTCATTTTGCTAAGGTCTGGTTCTATTGAACTGATGCAGGTCAAAGCAGATGGTTCGTTGATTTCTGATTTGGACCTCTTTCATCACAGGCCATACGAGTGCCTTCTATTGGGCCTCGTTCATGGGAAGGTTAGTTACCACCATTGCTGCATCATGGGTTCTTTGCAAGGGTTCAATTTTTTCTTCTTCTTTGAATTAGTAATCTGTTTACTGATTGTGATGTTGGTACTTCACAGGTTACAGATTCAAAACAGCTATCAAATACCAAACCTATACTACCGGATAATCAAATCATGTTAAGCATACCGGGAGATTACTCAAGGAAACCCCCAATTGCAGGTGATATACTGATTATATTATTTGATATGTAGTCCTTTATTAAAGCTTTAGTCTTCTAACCAACAACATACAACTCTTTCGTTCGTATTAAAAAAAAAAAAACAACTCTTTCGTTTGTAGTAGTTACGTACGTACTACTAATCATTTGTTGGATACATGTTTGCAATTCATGTATCCGGTTTTCAAATAGGCAATACAGACTACGTTTACCAATATAGGATCTTTTTCTTTCTGTTTTTCTTTCAGGATTGTTACATGAGTATGCTCCGAGGCTCCAACGTGGTCGATGTATTGAACTTTTTGCTAGAGAGATGACTGCCGGATGGATTTCTTGGGGGAATGAACCCCTTCATTTTCAGGAGTCCAGAAATTTTATGAAGACATAGTTATACATTCATTTTATTTTACTTCCCGCGAAGGCCTCGTTATTGTTGCAGAGCAGACGCCTATATAAGTTTTCGTTTACTGCCAGTAGGGATTTTGCAATTCCCGCCCCCCAGAGGGTTCAGTTATATTCATCGGTATTGTGATAAGAAATTGTCAGTGTGGTGGGCTGTTTTTTTATCTTTTTTTTCAGTGGGTACAGAGGGGGGCTAAAGCCCCATACCAAAAAGAACAGCAGCTAACCTAGTACTAAGAAAAGCCGGAGCCTCCAAAAACACAAGGAGGCCAGGACCAAAATCATAACTCTTTGCAGTCAGGACATCGGCCGCACAATTTGTTCAGAAATTCTGCTTCACAGAGCAGCACCAATCCTCATGAATCTTCTTTTTGCAACTAAACCCTACAATTTTCATTGAAAGTAGCACCCAATCACAAGAAAGAAACAAAATGGCGAAAGATAAAAAACAATGACGATGGAGAACTAACAATATCCCAAATCAAGCAGCCAGGTAATCGAATTGATGAATACATCAGAATTATTGATGGGAAGGGAATCCAAGGGCACCAGGTAACCGCACACACTTTGTATGAGACAATATTTGATATAGCTTTGTTGTGGAAATTAAGTATCATGAATGGCTTAAGGAATTGAATTGATGAAATGATTCTTTGTTATTCTTATATGTGCAGCAGATTGCAGGCAAGGACGATGGATATAATTCTTTACTGCTTCTTGGTATTTCACATGATGTTATTGCAAGATTATGATAGGGAGACAACAAGGAAGAAATTGGCTCAAGTTGTTGCAAACAACAGCAGCAGCAGCAGCCCGTGGTGGAAACTAGTCCCAGAAGATATCATGCAATTGATTGTACAACGACTACACGGTTGAAAAGTTGGTTTTGCTTCATCCCTGGCCACCTCCTTCCCCTTATTGTAGGACAAAGAACGGACAAAGTAATATACCCAGCACAAGATTCTACATCAATGGAGTTGTTTATGATTCTTCGTGAGGTAACTTATGTTCCCGGTCCGCACGATATATGTTATCAGATCATCGCCCCTAATAATTACTCTAGTTTCACCGCCGATTATGGTAATGGTAATGGTACCATTAACCATTGTCATGGTAAGAGGCTCAAAAGAAACTGCATCTATTTTGCTTTTGCTTATATTTGTGATGAGTTTGACACTTAATTAATTGTGACTAGCGTCATTGTGCTGGTATAATTCGTAATAGGTGTACATTGACTCGTAAAAATTCAATATAGTACAAGCTATAACGAGATAAACAAAAATGGTGGCATAATATTTCGTCAAAATATCAAGTTTGTATTATAATTAAGGGCATTGATCAACGTTTAACCAAAATTAAGGGCCTTACTCTCACTCATTTTATTTAACCACCAGTATTATTCAAAAGTTCCCTACGGAGCCACAAAACATGTGATTTCCGGAGGGCATTGATCAACGTTTAACCAAAATTATGGAATAATTAGTTGTGTCAGTATTAATCATCGGCCTAAAAATAGAAAAGTATTGTCTCCTTCAATTTTTCACGATGCATTGCTTGGCCCAGCTGTCAACCGAAAACAGTTACTGAGCAATGAGTATGGATACTTCAACTGCAACTGCAATGAATGAAATTTTGTTACATACTTCACCGGGTCAATTGACTGCATGCACTCCATTTTACACTCAACGAATCGTCAACGTTTTGAATATTGCTCCAAAGTCTAGGCATCACTCCATCTGCTTAGCATATAAAATCAGCAATGAAACAAAAACAAATGAATAGAAAGATATGGACTTGATGCTGAGATGTGATGAGGAATGTGGAAGACGTTAAGTAATAACGGTGACTCTTGGGAAATTAACTAATGCTGACATGGAGTCATTTCTAGCTCTTAGATTTGATTATAATGGCCATGATTACTTGAAATGCACGTACCAAAATGAAGAGGCTCGGATTCCATACTGATACTGCTCACATCATTATATGCATGTTAAGCTAAAATGAGTGAACTAATTAACTAATTAATTATAGAACTTTCTTTTTCTTTTTCTTTTTTTCCGGGGAGGGGGAATTACAAGATTTTGCACAAGAAGGAGGAGCAAAAGGAAAAGAAGCAGGAAAGGAGCCGCTGTTAGCAACTAATCAACATAGTGACGTGGCGTCATCTTCAACAGTTGGAGAAGCACAGAAGGAAATTACATCGGAAAATTAGTTGTACTAGCTAGTAGATATGATGATCTTCTGTTTGATTCTATCGTTATCATATCTTTCCTTTAATTTTCTGGTAATTCTTTCATTTCATGACATGAATTTGCTACGTTTGGATCCTTTGCAATATTGTATCGTGCATGGGCATGAACTGGCCGTAACTGTTGCTCATGAGTTTTTACTCGAGATAATTGAAAGAATATTTGGGTAATATTACGTCACACCTATGTCATATATATATATGCAATGCGAGCTTCTTACAACACCATGGCCTCTTCTCTTCCTTAATTTTTTCCTTTTTCTTTTTAATGGGCTTTTATTTATTTATACAATGTCGGGAATGACACCCAATTGTGCGTAATATTGGATCCATTATCTCCTTCCATTTTTCACGCTAAAAACGGTTACCGATAAGTTCGGCCTGCTCAGCTGCAAGAAAATGAAATTCGTTACGTCCATTTTCTTGCCTTCTGTTTTGCACGTAATGTAAGAAAGTAAGCATGGCTTCAATCTGGCGGCGGCTCTTTAGGATACATAGAAGAAAACATAAAACATGCACAACAAGGTCGTTGTAGTATAGTGGTAAGTATTCCCGCCTGTCACGCGGGTGACCCGGGTTCGATCCCCGGCAACGGCGTTTACTTTTTACTAGAGGATGGTTTTATTTTTCACACTTGAATACAGCAAACGACATGTCGTTAATAATCAGAGGACGAGCCCGTGGACCCTGCGTTTTCGGATTTAAACAGAAAATGGAAGGCTCAAGGTGACCATAAAAAAGACAAATCAAAGCAAACCAACAAATAAAAATAGTGCCCGCGAACAAGTAGCAGACGAGAAAAAAAAAAAGAGAGAGTATTTAGTAGGACTGTAAATAGGAGAAATGAGGACGACAAGCGAAGCCTCCTCCCTTCTGATTCTCCCCATTCAAATTGTACATCCTTGTCCGTCTTTGTTTCTCTCCATCTTTGCTTGCTTAACAACTTATTTCCTTTTGCTTTTCTGCGGCCTTTCATCGAGCAGGTTAGCTTCATTTTCTTTGTCTTGGTCAGTTGCCTTGTCCAATGCGCATGATGAACAATTTGCAGTCTTTGTATTTTCTTTGACGTTATAGTTTATGCGCATGTTAATTCCCCTGAATTAATTTGTTCATATATCTTCTTTTTTATATATATAAATTGCCAGAAACAATGATCAGGCTATTTAAAGTTAAAGAAAAGCAAAAGGAAATCGAAGCAAATACAAAGGAGAAGGGCCTAGTCAAGAAGCCAAGTGCAGGGGAATTACGTCTTCATAGAGGTTTTTACCTTTCATTTTTGAGTATATGTTGGTGACCATTATTTTCCATGCATGTTCGCAACAATGTACATAACCCATGCAATCCCTGCCTATTCATCAGTAATTTAGAATGCAGATATGTGATATAATTGACATCTTTCTTTTCTGTCTGCGTGGAATAATCTGGATAGCAGCAAGTGATATCATCATGTCCAATGATGATTTGGTGCATCCTCATAAACAGCTTACTTACATGTTGTAATTATTCGTATTTGTAGTTCAGGAGCATATACTTGCACACATAATTTCCATCAGTCTCCCCTGTAACATTCATTTTACATAAATCAGATTTTTATACGACTCTGTTATGATTATTTTGTTGCTCCCATTATCTCATCGAACTCATTCCTTGCCCCGTTTTACGATCAAACTATCAAATTCTTGCAATGTGGTATTCAACTTATGAAGTGTCAGCTCTGCCAATTCCATCCTATCAGCTTCCTGAATATGTTTTTAAATGAAACTTTGAATAAGCAACAATTTGGTATATATTTAATTCCTTCAAGTAGTCCTTGAATTGTATTATCTGTTCACATATCTATCTTGAGACCAGATTATGATTTTTACCTTTTTGTTTCTTGTAGACATAAGTGAGTTGAACCTACCAAAAGCATGTAAGAACGATCTGATGAACTTTGAGGTCACCATTGAACCGGACGAGGGATATTATATGTAAGTTATCTTTGATCAGGACACTTAAATATGGAAATTGTTTCGAATTGCAAATTTGATGTCATCTAGCTAAATGCCCTCCCTTTTCTACCTCCTGTGACAGTGGTGGCAGGTTTGTCTTCTCATTTCATGTTCCCATTATCTACCCTCATGAAGCTCCAAAGGTCAAGTGTGAAACAAAGGTAAAGAAACATAGGCGCCCCATTTTGGGCCAAATTTATTTTCCAGTCTATTGGTATTAATGCGGCAAACCATTTTATTCACCACTACAATTTCTGATGTTGTATACCATTTGCAGATCTATCATCCCAACATTGACTTGGAAGGGAATGTTTGTCTTAACATTCTTCGAGAAGATTGGAAACCTGTCCTCAACATAAACACTGTTATTTATGGATTGTCTCACCTATTCACGGTATCTCCGATTCTTTTTTCTGCTAAGTTTTATTTGTATGTTCCCCTGTTGCGTACTCAAATCTTGAGTATCTACTTATGCAGCAACCCAATTATGAGGATCCCTTGAACCATGAGGCAGCTGATGTTTTGAGGGATGATCCAGAGTTGTTTCAATCAAATGTGAGAAAAGCAATTGATGGTCGTCAATGGGTGGGAACGGACTATTTCCCCGGGTGCAATTGAGAAGATTTTCAATCCGGTTATCTAGGGTTGCTTGTTCAAGGTCCAAGGCTGTATAGGGGTGAAGGTTGTCTTTCCTGGAGTGTTTCTACATTTCAGGTGAGCAGGGAGATTGTTTTGTGTCACAATTTTCAGCCGATGCTTGTTGTAGTAGGAGGCCATTTGTGTGCTAGTGTAATTCAAATTCTCTTCCCATTAATAAACAAGGCGTCATGTCAAGACTTGGTTTTTGGTTTTTCACATTGACTTGAACAAAATGATCACCATTTTATTTAAACATGCATGAAGCAACCTGAGAGCTCTTTTTTTTGTTCCTCCTTTATTCCAATGCAATCAGTTTTGTAGTCTTTTTTGGTGCGGACCTGGAAAATTTGGGTTGGGCCTGTCGATTAAATGTCAGCACTCAAAAGCCCATTATTCATTCGAAAACTGTTTTTTTTCTTCTCTTCTGTTGCGAACCCAAATCCCCATGCAAACAGAAAAACCCTCAGTTTTCAGAAGTGGGTCCCACTGCAACGGCCGGGCCCGCAAGAGAATTATTAGGTCATCGGCGAAAGGAAAAAAACAGTTACATAATAAAACTCCACGCGGCAACGCTTTTTTCTCTCTCTCTCACTCGCATCAGAATGCACTTGCGTGCACCCCAGAACACCATTCTGTTATTGTTGCATGAGGTCGGTCCTCAATTACTAGCCCTCCATATGCCCTGATCGTAATCTAACGGCCTTAAATTAATGACTAGTAAACGAGTATGGTTACAACGACAGGTAATAAACGACGCCGTCAAGGTCTTTGAGTGCACACGCGCCACATTTCAACATGGCCGAGTCAGGCTTTATTTTTGTAAACACTGAGAGAGAGATTCTTCTACACAAACCAGCGAAAAAGCAAAAGCGCATTCCTCGTGAACACACGCATCTCCATCTCTGATTCTGCCGAGCTTAAATCGCCTGCGACGCAACTTACGCGGAGCTCGACATTGCACAGCGCCTGATACTGAGAGGGAAAAGAGAGGGAAGATAATTGATTGGAGAATGACGTCGGATGGAGCCACGTCTGCGGCGACGGTGGCGCGAAGGAAGCCGTCGTGGAGGGAGAGAGAGAACAACCGGAGGAGAGAGAGGAGGAGGAGAGCCATAGCTGCGAAGATATTCGCAGGGCTCCGAGCTCAGGGCAACTTCAATTTGCCCAAGCACTGCGACAACAACGAGGTGTTGAAAGCTCTCTGCCTCCAGGCTGGCTGGACCGTCGAAGACGACGGCACCACCTATCGCAAGGTCCCTCTTCCCTTCTCTTCTTTAATGTCTTTTTTTAATTTCCAATTATTTTCACGTAATTGTCATAGCTCAGATCCAAAGGAAAAATCCACCTGAAAATTAATTTACTGATGAATTCTAATAATATGATGGTGGTGGTGTTGTACAGGGATTGAAGCCAACCCAAATTGATACACCAGGCACATCAACCATGATCAGCCCTTACTCTTCTCTAAATCCTAGTCCAATCCCATCCTACCAAGCCAGTCCTTCGTCGTCTTCCTATCCAAGCCCAAGCCGTTTCGATCCCAGCACTAATTCATCCAATCCCAGTCACTATCTGCGCTCTGCAATTCCTTCGTCTCTCCCTCCTCTGCGAATTTCCAATAGTGCCCCTGTAACCCCACCTCTCTCATCCCCAACCTCCAGAAACCCCAACCCAATTCCAAACTGGGACTCCATTGCTAAACAGTCCATGGCCTCTTTCGATTACCCGTTTTATGCTGTCTCTGCTCCGGCTAGCCCGACCCGTCACCAGCTCCATTTTCCAGCTGCTACCATTCCCGAATGTGACGAGTCTGATACTTCCACTGTTGATTCTGGGCAATGGGTTTGCTTCCGGAGATTTGCTCCTTCTCTGTCAGCAATGCCAGCCTCTCCCACTTTCAATCTTGTGAAGCCTGTTGTTGCTCACCAAAACTTGCCTGACAGTGAGATCCCAGAGGTAAAGCCGTGGATTGGAGAGAAGATTCATGAGGTGGGATTGGATGATTTGGAGCTCACACTTGGAAGTGGTAAGCCTCGAAGTTAAGCCCAGCAATTGGGTGGGGGGGTGTTTGGATTCAGAGTGTGAGTTGCTGAGTTATGAAGGAAGAGAAAGAAAAGAGGTTGTACTTGTTCATCTGCCACAACCCTTTCTGGGTCAAACTGCATATCTCGAACCATACTTGGTTATATTGCTTGCTAGAAATTAGATTTCGTTTGCGTTTTAAGTTTATTTTATTCCTTCTTTCTCAATTCGACTTTGTTTGGGATGTTCTCAGCTTCAGAATATTGTGTACCGTTTCTTGTTCAAATTAACCGTTCTTTTTTTGTATTATTATTTATTTTTATAATTAAATTTGTAGACTCAGAAAACCCACAGCAAAATGGGAAAGTTTTATTTTGCGGTTTATGCGTCCGCGTGCTTATATACATAGAGGGGTTTCGTTCTTCATGCCTAATAGTAATAATAATCCATCGTATTAAACCTTCTTTAAACGTTGTATTCAATCGCAAACGTTGAAGAAAATTTTAAACACAATGCACCAAACAAGCGTTAATGATCACAAACACGTGCTTTTCTATGATAATGTGAATATTTATTACAAGACACCAAAATGACGATAAGGCAGCAAATTTGACAACTCACACTGATCTCTACAAAGCATCAGCTTCTTACATAGAGGTAAGAGTCTAAGACAATGCTTTTCTGGTTGGTTAGTTTAATGACACAGACACAGACAGTGGCATGAGAAAAGCACGCAACGACTACAAAGTAAAAATGGAAAACATCTACTTTTTACCTTCTTACAGTAATTTCTAATTATGTGGATTTGTGTAATTAGTAACAAAGTCTGTCTGTCATTTGTGCTCTCCAATCTCCATAGCTTCACTTAGTTTTAGCACCTCCGTCTTCTCTTCCATCTTAAGTTTCAGGTCTAATTTTTTGTCATTTGCATCGCACTCCTTGTATCTGAAGCATGTTAGGAGATGATCGTTCACAATCCCTGCCACTTGCATAAACGAGTAAATGACAGTAGGACCAACACAACGGAAGCCTCTCTTCATCAAATCTTTGCTTATGACTTCAGCTTTTGGCGACTTCACCGGTACTTGGCGTCCATAACGAAATCCGTTTCTTATTGGCTTGTGGTTCACAAAGCTCCAGCAGTAGTTACTGAAGGAACCAAACTCCTGCTGA